GTATGTGTTGTTGATTTTTCTGCTTAGATCCCTGCCTGGGCTGTGATGCTGCAGGATTATACATTTTAGGTTCATTGTTTTCAAATAGAAAGAGAAAAAAACTTTGAAGAGTGGTGATATTCATACATCAGACATTAGATACATTATACAGTAGATCAGGATCAGCTGTTGTAGGAATGAGGAATTTGTACATATGAAGAAGAGCCTGACTGATTCTGGATTTGTAAGGCCGATACTGACTATGGACTGTTGACCTTTTCTGTATTGAACCAAGACCACGATCTTTTCCAAAACCTAGTGCTACGAGTGCCTAAATAGAACCATTAAATAGTTTAATGATGCTGTTGCAGTACAAATAGATATAGTCTGAAAACAAAGTGTGTACGTTGTCAGTGAACATTTTAAGATACATTGAGGATAAACATTTTGAAACTTGGCAGATACGTTCATCGAAACATTTCCTGAATTTCTTTAAATTTCTGGAAGATAGTTGCGATATTTGAAAGTTAAAGAAATCTGATAGTGATTTATCAATCAACATGGAACATGAGGTTAACATTTAAGATACTAGCCGAAATGTTTTGACTATTATTAGATCGATTGTTGTGAATTTTTGTTCAGACATTTATGTTCCCCTCAGGAGTAGTTTTTAATGACATCAGCATGTTAGCATTTCCATTGCGCACATGTTAGCATGCTGCTGTTACTGTTCAGTAGATGTAGGCTTCATCCTCACAGCTCTAGACTTTGGTTGGTTTAACATAAAAGCATATTCATTAAATAGGCTCAGGGTAAGTAAATAGGAAATTGAAATAGAAGTTGAAAATCACTTTTCTATATATTATAATGTTTCATAAAGAAAGTCACTAGAATTTATCATGAAACCTAAATGAATAACCCAGGCTTTTATTTGCTATGATCACTGAACTCAACCTGCCTTTATTTGGAATAGGCGTCTATATGGGATAGGCATTTTATTCCTTTTGTACAAAACCCTTGCAGCAAAGATGGGAAATATTATCAAATTGTATGAATATTACCTACATATCAATTATTGATGATTAATATTACAATCATTTATCATTCATTTGATCATTTGATACTTTGGTACTCATGGTTTCTGTAAACATAAACTGAGCAATTGAATTGTGGAGAATCTAACCAATCTAACGATAGGTAGCAAGTAAATATTGACAAAAGTTTAAACATTTATATTTATGTAGGCAATCTAAATAATCAGGCCGGTGGGTTTGAAGAAGTTTTATACATCCAGAATAATTTCTATAAAATCCAGACCAGGTGTCTAACTGAGACAAAATGTGTCAAAATGTGTAGCCACATCAGTCTGATAAAGGGACCTCTATCTAATTGGGAACCCGCTTTTAAATGAAGTTTTAGAGTATGTACATTTTTCCCTTTTGTCTTTGTCTTTTCTGGGCTGAGGAAATATTTTACATGACCAGTTTTTAAAGCAGATGGCAGAATATTTGTCTAAAACAACATGCTTAACATGAATTATGGACACTGTATGTGTCTAATCTGACATGTTATCCCATTTGTAACTTGAGGAATTAGTGTTTATTAATTTTATTATGTCATGAAAAATCTAAATTAATATGTTTTCCCACAAAGAGCTTTGAGGTAAACCCAAGTTCACCTTCCAATCTTCAGAGGTCAAACCGATAAAGAAATGGTTTTAGATTGAAACAAAAGTTGTTGTACTGTTTTACACGACATGTTACATGTTATGAAAAAGAAAGAGGTAGAGAGGTGACAGAGTAAAAGTGAGGGGCCAATACTGACTAACATGTCCTAGGAGTGAATGTGTGGAGTGACAAAGAGAAATGAAAAGTGGAGGTCAGGACCTGGGTGCCAGGGAGAACAGCCATTTCCTGTTGACCTCTGTTTGCACTCTGGCCCCTGACCCCCCCTCCTGCTCCAGGCCGAATGGGGGGGGAGTGTTTGTTGTGTGTTTGGGCTACTGTGGGTGGATGTTGGGTGGAATTATGTATGGATGTTTGATGGCTAAAAGGATATAGTTCAGAGAAGAGGTGAAATTACGGATGGGACGTGCACATCAGGAGCTGCGAGGGGAAAGGTTAGGAGGAAAAACAAAAAGGTTGTTTAAGTTTTAAATGTTGACACGATATTTTCCTTAATTTTGGTGATAAACAAGTAGGAAGGAATTACGTGAGGACTGGAAAAAATCTACACAAACCACAAGGAGTTCTGGTCTGTGCTATGAAGCATATAAAAATAATTGCAGTTCTTTCCTCCTTGTGATAATCCAGCCTGTGTGACAGATCACTGCTGCTGCAGCCTGAGGCCTCTGTCAGAGTTAAATAGATAGTCAGAGGAGTGACTTGACTTATCATCAGAAAAAAGAAGGAAGATTACATTATTTATCAAGAAAAGGTCCTGTAAAAGTGTGTGGCTTTTGTTTATTATAAGCTTTAGAACATCTCATGAAGGACCCGAAATATTTACTCAGTGGGATGGATTACTGTAAATCTAGACAAAGTTAGGTGAGAGGTGAGATGCTCTATGACATTGATGCACTGATGGTCTCACATCACCTCCTTTTTAATAACCAAGGGTGTACCACAAGGTTCTGTGCTCTGTCCATTATTATTTACATCCACATAAACAATATTGCTACTGCAGAACTAATTATAACATTTTTTATGCAGATGATGCAATCTTGTTTGCATGTCCCTTCTCCAATTTAAGCCTGTGTTTAACCTTCTTCAGACATTCTGCATAATCTCAAACTTGAACTAAATGCTGATAAAAAACAAATGTATTCTCAATAACCCTACATTCTCATACAGTACAGTATTCCTGTCATCCATACATATATTGGTACTGACACTGAAGTTGGTTAATCTTGTAAATATCTGGGATTGCAGTCTTTCAGACCTCAACACCCAGACAGGTTAAAAATTGATCTCTTAATGCATATCAGAATAAAGCATGTTTTTCATTTGAGCACAGAAACTCCATTGTACACTCAACCATCATGTCTGTGTTTTGCAACAGAGATACCCTTTATTCATGTTGCTCATTCCACCTTAAAACAATTACATTTCATATAGGAAATAAATCATACTCATCACTGTACTGTATAGTGGGCTGGCTACCAGGGCACACTGTCATTTTTGTTTATAAAGGTCTTGTGCTTAAGGTTCATCAGTATATTCCTTCTCAAATTTGAAATTACAGTTTGTCAGACCTGATCCAAGGACTTTTGATACCCTTGGCCTTCCACTACTTTGCACGATATAAAGCAAATTGATTTCAAACCACATTGAAACTTGAGAGTCTCATCTTATTGGATGAATTTAAACTTTTGAAGATTTATGTATTTTTATGCTCTTTATATGTACTTGTGTGTTTTGTTGTGTGTGTTATCTCGGTTCTATTTCACCTGCGGGATCAGGTTTCTAGTTTTTAGTAAAATGTCATTTTGAATGACTAGTTTCATGATTATAAAAAAACTTTAGCTATGTTTATAGGAAGGGCCCATTTTATGTTTTCAGCTTGGAACAGAAGATAAAGTTTTTGCAATGCAATTTTAAGAGGTTCTTAGTACTTATGTATGTGAATGACAAATGGCACAACCCGCTAACTAACTAACAACGCAGTTTTTGCAGTTTGTGTATAATAAATTAATGTATTTCTAATTTAGCTTCATAGGATATAATTCAAAATGAGCTACAACAGTCGCTAATCAATTATTTTTCTTTCCTAATATTTAGAGATGTTTAGACCTTCTTGGAGCTGTCTCACCAAAATCTGCACGTTTTCTGTTTGTGCAGTGTGCAGTTTTTAATCAACAGTTTTCATCCATTGCACACTCAAAAATGTAGATGTATGTATATTGACTTTTCTGTCAGAAACGTTAAATCTATCACCTTCTGCATCAATAATAAACAGTCCAGAAAGACATGCAAACAGATGACCACTGACAAGTCTTACAAAAAAACATTTTAATACTTTAACGGTATTTCCCATCGTCATTCAGAAATGTTTCAGCAGTCCGAGCAGAGCGGAGAGGGAGCCGAAATGTTTCAAGAGTCCTTTGGCTGCAGCTCCCCTCACACACCGCTGTGACAGACAAAAAATGTACTAGAAATGCTTACAGAACATTGTGTTTGTGTGTGTGTGTGTGTGTGTAGAAATGGCTTTCAGTGTAGTGTGTGTTGCTATGTGTGTATGTTGTGTGTTTGTGTAGGAAAGATCCTAAGGTAACGGACACCTGTTGGCATCTTAAGGAGGTCAGTGGTACGAGAGCGAGGCAGACTGGAAGTCATTCATAGTGTTTAGCTTCATGCTGAGGAAGAGCACTAATATTTCAACAAGCTCACGTGAAGCTGCATCCGCCTGGAGTGGCACACATAAATATAAAAATAGAATAAGAAAAAACTCAAATCAGCTTTAAATAAAGTGTGTGTGGAGGCGTGGGTTTGTGTTTGACAGTCAACGTGTGAAGGAAGACAGGGAGCAGTGAAGAAGGCGTGTTCACAGGATCAAGTCCCATCCAGTAACGTCCATGTGCTGTTGCAAAGTCTAGGAATAAATGTTCATCTGTCCCTCCGATCTGATCTTCCTGTGGTTCAGCAGGCATGATGGGAAGTGTATTTTAAAGCATGTGTCTCAACCCACAGGACACAGTGGGCAGACATTTGTGAGAGGACGAAGCATTCTACTCTGAACGAGGTACTGGCTTAAAACTTGTGGTCCAGACTGTGTGTGTGAAATGTATATGTCTGTGTTGTGTGTGTGTGGTGTGGTGTGTTAGCCGAGTTGGGAATCAGCTACATTGGGTCAGTGTCTTTTAAGTGGGGAATGTAAACCTTTCGGAGCAATGTGTCTTTTTTCTTGTAAATAGCTGTTTCTGTATGCGCAGTACAGCATACACAGCAGCGTGCACACACACACACACACACACACCACAACACACACACACAACACACACACACACACCACACACAACACACACAACACACACACACACACACACTTATATCTCACCACACATACACACATTCATACAGTAATTTGCCCTTGCACACACACACCCCGACTCCCCCAACAGCTAGTGTGCATGTATGTCCAGTCCCTGGGCGAGGAGCGGCTCTGCGGGGTGTGCGTGTGGCGGCGGGTGGAGCAGCATTGCGGGGTGGGGGTGTGGACCCGGGTAAGGGTGGAGGGAGGGTCCCGGATGGGGAGGGTAGCCTGGTTGGGACAGTAGAGCGCCGGGGTAGTCACCCTGCAGAGAAGACATCCCCTGGAGACCTTGTGAGACACGGAGGACAGGTTTAGATTTTAAATGTAGATAAAGTGGAAATATTTTCAGCATTTGGCTCCACTGAAATATATAAATACTGAGCAACTGTCATTGCCATTCAATAGTCAAGTGTGTAGGTAATAGTGGACAAGGTGTTTTTCTTCTTAAATCACTTTTACTAAATTATGGCCTACACTTCACTACACTTCTCCATAAACTCTGCAAGGAAAATGGTTATCAAACCCAAAATCCACAATGGATTTATTTATGTATTAATTTTGCTTAGAGATGAAAAATGTGTCTTTACTTAAAATATAAGTACATAACCTACAGTCTTCTTCCTTTGTTTCCCTCAGTTAGCGTTCACTGAGTTACAATCATCTTATTCCACGCTGTCTGACTGTATTGCATACACAGTATATTCTGTACCAGCTTGTTCGACTTTGTTTGGTAGTTTTTTATATTTGGTAGTTTTTTTTCAAAACAAGATTTCAAAATAAAGCTCAGTGGCTTTTAAACAATGTTTGGCTGCACAGCATGAGCAGCAGCTGCTTGTTAGGGTTTTTTTAATAGCATCAAAAAACACATAATAATATCGTAGATTTACTTACTGTCTAGTGTTATGTATTAATATAAGAGGTTTAAGTCTTTTGATGTGGTTTTTCGTGCTTGGTTATTCACATAAAGTCACATGTTGTTCCTTTAAAGCTTCAGACCACAACATCCCACACAATGTGTCTGGATCGAGCATAAGCAATTGAACATGGTGATAAAATCACTCATTAAAATGTTTAAAATTATGTTAAAATGACAGCAAACAGAGATAGTGGAGTTTTAGAAGTCTGTACAGAAACCACCTCTAACAGAGGAAACTACCTCTAACACATCACTGAATAGTGAGTGAGTCACTCTTTCCTAATGCTTATAAATATTTATATTCATAGTATTTAATGAAAAAGCGCAGTCAGGATTAAACAGAGTATAAATATTTATATCTTATTTTTTATTTAAGATTTCTTAGTTCAACTCTGTCCCTTCATATTCCTCATATTAGTTTTTTCCTTGGTACTCAGCAGTGACTATGTTTTTTGATCTACTTGTGATTTTTCCTTGAGTGGACTTAAAGGATGAGGCTGCTGATATTCTAAATTTTTTTTATTGTCAACAAATCCCATGAAAAGGCAAAATTAACAGCGTGAGTCCATTTCTTAATACTTTCGATTTCCCCAGCCTGTCTGTGGCACTCAGTCCCAAGCCCATTTTTTTCTTACTTGAGAGGTAAATCTTAAAACAAATTGTTCCTTTTCTTTAAAAAAAAAAGTTGAATATGATTTCCAGAAACATCTGGCTACTGTATTTTCAGTAAACATTACACAAACGGGAGGAAATAGTGCATTTGTTGGGGACTATTTCCAGTTGCGGATTAATCTACATTTGGAGCTCTTGTGAGTATTTCCAGCAGCAGGACGGTGTGACTGAGTCAAAATAAACTACAGTGTGCGTGTGAATGAAGGAACATGTCAGCCAGTGTAACATGGCACAGAGGAATATGATACATTAGGCTTTGATACACATGCAATACAATTAATTGTTGGTTTTGGTCTTTTCATGGTATTTTTTTACATTAAAAATACATACTGTATCGCCAGCCCTAACCCAGAGTACTATAGGCTATTCGGTACTATTACTGTACCTGCTGTTCGGAGCCCGAGGTGGGCCTGTCCATCAAGCCCGTAGCCCCCAAGAGCTGCTCCCTCTGGGCTGTAGGGACCACCCTGACCTGTGAGACGACACACACTATCAGACATAAATATACAACACACACAAACACACATATACACAGAGTTGTTTGCCTAGCGACCGACCAGCTGACTTATAAACACAGACCTGAGCGATTTGACTGGTCAATCATCGGCTGAACTATTCTTCTCCTGGCATTGATGAACCTGTGCAGGGGAGAGAGACATAAAGAAAGAGTGTTTTCAGACAGAGAGAGAGAGAGAAAGAAAGACAGAGAGAGAGAGAGAGAGCGATGGACGAGGGCACCCGTTAATGGAGAAAAAGGCTGACCAGGAGACTATTAACCTTTTCCCTTTTACAACCACTTAACCCTTTCAGAGGGCAGAGTAAATCAACGTTAGGGCAGAGCAGGTATTGATTGCCCTGTGATAATTGATTGATCTGCATTGATCGGGTCACTCTGTGTGTGTGCTGCAGCATGGTTACAAATAAAAACATGCAAGTTATCAGATTACAGAATCTACTGTTAATATATTTTGTTTTTGTGTGTTTCTGTATCAATATCTTAGGTGCAGAAATTTTACATTATGAAACAAGTAATTGAATCAGAAACATGGAAACGTGTGTGTGTGTGTGTTTTGCCTGTGCAGGTACATGTGTGCCTGGGGAATTCCGGTGCAGTAAACCACCTGATTATTGGATATTGATTTGCTATTCTGTTTTATGAACATAGAGCAAATGGATTTTACTGCGATTTTACAGCTTAAAAAAAAAATGCTTAGTAGGACATTTCTTACTCTGTTACAAGCTTCTCTCTAATAAAGTAGATTATAGTCTTCTCTAAAAGTCTTGTAAAAGTGCAGCCTTACATTTAACTGACATTTATTTGTACAAAATGGGCACAATAAAGAGATACTAAGAGATGTAAACTATAGATACTGTTCATTATTGCAGCCAAATATTGCGCCAATATGTAATCAATGTGGCAACTGCCATTCTGTTAAATTGAAAGTTGACACTCATTTAAACATGACAGTTTAACTGATTATTGATAAACCACAGGGCCAGAATTAGTGTATTGATTGAGTGCACTGACCAGTTGTTGACCTGTAAGATGGTCAGTCCTGTGTCCTGTGCCAGCTGCTTCTTCTGCTCCTCAGACGGGTACGGGTGCTGGGAGAGGACAAATGTGTGAGTGAATGCTTGTGAGTGAACAAGAGAATAATCTCAAGGGTTACTGGTGACATAATGTAACTTCCGCTTTAATCTACAGTGAAGTAATCTCTCTCTGCTGATGACCCTCCATCTGAATTCACATTTTCAACCTTGGCAAACCTTCACTCTCTCTCACACACACACA